TATATATATATATATATATATATATATATATATATATATATATATATGTGTGTGTATGTATGTATGTATATATCCATGACCTATTTTTCCTCCACATTTTAAGTTTGTGACCCCAGGTTTTTGTCAGGGCAAGTGAGAACCCTGGTTGTTGACACCTGGGGGCCTGATGCCAAAATGCTGATGTGTAAACTGTGGGAACATCAAAGATTTAGGTTTTTTTTTTCAGTACACATTCCAGAAAAGTACAGTTATTCTAAATCAGCATTTAAAAAATCATATTTAGCCTTTGGGCTGGGGCAGACACAGAGACGGTCTGCTCCTGTCCTGTGGAGATACTGAATCCTGAGTCATCCTAGAAGAACCACTGGACTCAGAGCAGCCAGTAAGAACTCCATCTCACTCCCTAAACCCCAGAGATACATCTGGGAGACAGGGACATTCAGGCCACAGCAGCTACCCAAACCCCGCCCCTCCAAAATTCCCCTTCCCTTCCGCCCCTGCCTGGTCCTTTGGGCTGGGGCAGACACAGAGTTGGTCTGCTCCTGTCCTGTGGAGATACTGAATCCTGAGTCATCCTAGAAGAGCCACTGCACTCAGAGCAGCCGATACAGAATCCTGAGTCATCGAGGAGCCACTGCACTCAGAGCAGCCTAGGAGCCACTGCAATCAGAGCAGCCATGGAGCCACTGCACTCAGAGCAGAAGGATTTCCAGATCCAAGAGGTGGCCTGAGTCCCAGGAGTTCTTCCACCCAGGAGATTAGGAGCATAAGACCACAGAGATATCTGGACTCTGAGGAGCTCTGCAACAAGCAAGATAACTGGAAATGCAGACTCCAGTCTTACACAGTGAGGGCAGGTAACACTATAGTTAACCAGATGGCGAAAGGCAAGCACAAGAACATAAGCAACGGAAACCAAAGTTTCTTGGCATCATCAGTACACAGCTCTCCCAATATAGCAAGCCCTGGACACCCCATCACACCTGAAAGGCAGGATTCAGAATTAAAATCACTTCTCATGAAGATGATAGAGGATTATAAGAAGGAATTAAGTAACTCCTTTAAAGAAATACAAGAGAGTACAAGTAAACAGATAGAAGCACTTAAAGAGGAATCACAGAAATCCCTTAAAGAAATGCAAGAAAACACAAAGAAGGAATTAAACAAAAACATTCAGGATCTGAAAATGGAAATAGAAACAATAAAGAAAGTTCAAAGGGAGACAACCATGGAGATAGAAAACCTAAGAAAGAGATCAGGAGTCATAGACACAAGCATCACCAACCAAATACAAGAGATAGAAGAGAGAATCTCAAATGCAGAAGATACGTTGGAAAATATTGACACAGTTGTCAAAGAAAATGTAAAATGCAAAAAACTCCTAACTCAAAACATCCAGGAAATCCAGGACACAATGAGAAGACCAAACCTAAGGATAATAGGTATAGATGAGAATGAAGATTCCCAACTTAAAGGGTCAGTAAATATCTTCAACAAAATTATTGAGGAAAACTTCCCTAACCTAAAGAACAAGATGCCCATAAACATACAAGAAGCCTACAGAACACCAAATAGACTAGACCAGAAGAGAAATACCTCCCTTCACATAATAATCAAAACATCAGATGCACAAAACAAAGAAAAAATACTAAAAGCAGTAAGGGAAAAATGTCAACTAACATACAAAGGCAGACCTATAAGAATTACACCAGACTTCTCACCGAAGACTGTAAAAGCCAGAAGAGCCTGGACTGACATCATACAGACCCTAAGAGAACACAATTGCCAGCCCAGATTACTATACCCAGCAAAACTCTCAATCACTATAGATGGTGAAACCAAGATATTCCATGACAAAGACAAATTTGCACAGTATCTTCTCACAAACTGAGCACTTCGAAGGGTAATTGATGGAAAATGCCAACACAAGGAGGGAAACTACAACCTAGAAAAAGCAAGGAAGCAATCTTCCAACAACCCCAAAAGAAGATAACTATAAAAACATAATTCTACCTCTAATAACAAAAATAACAGGAAGCCACAATCAATTTTCCTTAATATCTCTTAACATCAATGGTCTCAATTCCCCAATAAAAAGACGCAGACTATCAGACTGGATACACAAACAAGACCCAGAATTTTGCTGCATACAGGAAACACACCTCAGTGACAAAGACAGACACTACCTCAGAATAAAAGGGTGGAAAACAATTTTCCAAGCCAATGGTCCCAAGAAACAAGCTGGAGTAGCCATTCTAATATCAAATAAAATCGACTTTCATCCAAAATTAATCAAAAAAGATAACGAAGGACACTTCATACTCATCAAAGGAAAATTCTACCAAGGTGTCCCGGCCTGCGGGACTCGGTTATTCGTGGGGGCGAGGGGAACCAAAACCTGGAAGAGAAACGGGCGGGAGAAAGGAAGGACCCAAGCAAACGGTTGCTTGTCAAGAGCCGTGTATTTTAAAAAAGGCAAGCTTTTTATAACAAGCTCGGGTTAGGGGAGGGGGAAGGCAGGTGGGGTCATGGAAAGGTACAGCTTCTTCTTGGCCTGTGCCCTAGAACATTTTGTGGTTAGGGGCTTTTCTCAGAAGTAGCTATCTCTTTGTGCATCAGCTTTCAGCAGGATGAGGCATAGTCAAGGTATTCAACTGAACAGGATGTAGGTGGGTGACAAGGCTTCGGTTTCCAGGCGAGGGGGAAGGCTGGCAGGGGTCCCTGTTAGGGGTCCTGGTCTCTGACATCTCCCCCTTCCCTGTAAACTAAAGAGGGCGTCTTTTAGAGGAAGAAACTCAAGGATGGGCGAATTTGGGAGGGCATCCCGGCCGTAGGCAGTTCGCGGTCCCAGAAGGGCAGCAAGGCCATTGAGAGGCACCGTTGGTAGACAGTCTTGGCTGTCTGTCAAGACCAAGTTCGTGGTCATGAAGGAGAAGGGGAGACCACTCTCTCACGTGCAATGGCAGCTAAGGCCCGTGAGGTGCAAGAGCTGGTCCCCTTGCGATCCTCATACCCACTCCTGGTGCAATGGAAGCAAGTCCTCAGGGTGCAGGGGCTATGAGGTCGCGTCCTGTTTAGTGCCAGGCTTGCAGTTAGGCCAAGGCTGGGATGTAGCTAGGCCAAGGCCGGGATGCAGCTGTCGAGGCAGCTATTGGGAGGTTCTTTCAAGCAATAGCAGGGGCAAGCCAATTAAACGGGGTGGAGTAGAGACGCCTGTCTTCAATTATCTAGGGATACGGAAGGTCAGCCAAGAGAGCCAGGAGCTCCCCTGTAGGGCCCGAAAGTTAAGAGGCCGGCCAAGGGAGGAGCGCGCGGGCCCCACATCTTCATCTTCAGGTTGTGTCACCACCACATGGGCGACAGCCTCGGTGTCGTCCTCTGCTTTTAGCTGATGGTAGTAGACTTCAACTGGTCTTTTAACTGTGGAATCTATCTGGTTTTTA